GGGGGGTTGTTAATATGATGTCAACATTACATCGTGTTGGGGATTGGGGTCCGTAAGCATAAATGCGCTGATACGTCGTTACGCCGATCTGCTGTAATTACATGCAATTACGCCGTTACGCCGATACGCGCTTACACCGATTGGTCGTTTTACGCCGATAGTCCGTTAAGCCGATCGCTGTGTTTATGTCTTTACAGTGCCCTATAACTTTTAGCCAACCCTAAATAAAACCTAGACAAACCCTAAACAAACTCTAAACTTGAACCCTAAATAAACAGCAATCAGCAATCCGTGTAAAGGTCTATCGTTGCGAGCGTGGCAATCGGTGTATCGGTGTATCGGTACAAGCGCGGCAATCAGTGTATCGGTGCATCGGTGAGAGCGCGGTGTATCGGTGTATCGGTGCGCGCGCGGTTTATCGGTGCATCGGTGTGAAAAACGTGCGGACCCCCAATCCCCAACGCCATGCAACCCTATCTCTTCATGGGATTTCATGGGAACAAAGCAAAAGGCACATGTCACAAGACGCATAAGACTTTCTCAGGCAAGTCTCCAGCTGCTTCTGGAAAGCCACTGCAAACTCCTCATTGCCGCAGGGCTCATACCTCGGCCTCTTCTTGATACCGAAATCCACATTCTTCATCATGGGCTGCGGGGTAAAACGAACTGCCTGACGGCTGAGAAGCTCCCAGGTTGATTTGGAAACCCCAAACTGACAGGCGTCCCTGCTCAACCGACCAACTTAGTGGACGTTCCAAAATCTGAACAAAAAAAACCTCTAAACCAGTTTCGCGCTACAGTCATCTACTCTCATCTACCGTCAACTGACTGACCCCAGCGGCCTGAAAGGTATGCGTCAAATCCAGCCAATCTTTGTTCAGTACCTGCCGCACCCCTGCCGCACAGCTCTCCATGATGCCGAAATCCACTCGATCCATGAGGCCGAAGTCTAAGAATACCACGCGACCATCATCACCCAACCTGTTCAACGGGTTGGTGGGAAAATCAACCGGAAACCATGGTCTTTACCCCCATAGAACTGAAGTAGTTGGTGAAAATAGGGTGAAAATTAAAAGTAACTTCTGGCCTTCTCCACTGTGCAAAATGTCATCATCCCCATACCGCTTTGGCCGGGGGCTTCTCGGAAAACATCTCTTGTCCGCCAATGGGCCACTAAAGTTCAGCGAACCAATGCAACCTTTACTATAATGGTTAGTTGATAGGCCTTCGTATCATGGCTTAGAATCCCCAACCATTAAGCCAGTTAGTACATGTTAGTGTAGCACCTTTTTTTCTCAATCCATCAACAATGGAAATGTCACTGCCCGCCTGAGGTTCCCCTCATGTGGATCTGCATGCACAAAGCCGGTCACCAGCAGTTGCACCACGCACGCCTCAACTGCCATCTCTACCAACAAACGTCGTTCCTCGATAGCCAACTCCTTTGGAGCGCGGCTCGGATACCAATTCCTCGGAACGCAAGGGTGGTGAACAGAAATGATGTTGTACAAATGCTTGGATTGAATAGAAGGGTGCATTATTGCTATCATGTTTGTTACGACAATTTTTATTGATGTTGCCCTTAGTAGTAGTAGTAGTAGTAGGTAGTAGTAGTAGTAGTAGTAGTAGTAGGAGTAGGAGTACGAGTAGGAGTAGGAGTAGGAGTAGGAGTAGTAGGAGCAGCAGTAGCAGTAGCAGTAGCAGTAGCAGTAGCAGTAGCAGTAGCAGTAGCAGTAGCAGTAGCAGTAGCAGTAGCAGTAGCAGTAGCAGTAGTAGTAGTAGTAGTCGTAGTAGTAGTAGTAATAGTAGTAGTAGTAGCAGCAGCAGCAGTAGTAGCAGTCGTAGTAGTATTGGTGTCATTATTGATAACATTACGTTATATGATTGTATCAGTATAGTATCACCTTGCTATATGATTAGTTATTAGTTATTATATTGTTATATCATTATATCAAATACAATTATATATATGATATGCATATGTCCGTGTGTGAAAAAGAAAGTGCTACACAGCAAGTAATTAAGTAGACTTTAGCAATCAGGCCACCCTAGACTCTCAGACTCTGGATGATTTTGGATGCTCATTTCAGTAGAGCAAACAACTGGCCACCTTTGGAATCTCCATGAATTTCCTTCGAGCAGAGCCCGTTGCCATAGTTCCAGCAAGTTCCAACACAATTCACCATCCCACCGATCCGTCCTGGAACCGTCCTGGAACCGTCCTGGAACCCTCCCAAGATGTCCCAAGTTTCAATGCCAACACTCTGGAGGACTCCTTTGGGCCCATGAGCTCCGGGATCCAGCCCGGTGATGTCACGAAGGGTAAAAACGCGTGCCGCAGGGCGAACTCCTCGGCGTTGGCCGCTTCATTGAAGTAGTCCAACTCCATTCCTAGGGTCAGGCTCCAGGGTCCATCTGCAGCACACCGTATCCCATGCTATTCTACGCTATTCCACAGCAGCTTGGAAAACCAATCCCCCCTTGGTGAGATGATTGACTTCAGAATGTTCAAAACATCATCATCAACATATATAATCAACATATGCGGGTGCCCAATTGGCAAGAAACATCTAGGAATCTAGGCGGATCTCCGGAGGTTGAGCTGTTAAAGGTCTCCTTGTCTACACCTTGCCCAATGCAAAAGCAACTAAAGAAACATTGTGGTCCCACCAAATGCATGGCATCAAATGCGCCCTTCTAAAAACTGGGTTGGCGGTCCCAATCCAGGCAAGCATCCTCACATCATCTTCCCAAACACATCCTTCTACAAAGTGTTAATTTTAAAGAATGCAATGCAGTCAAACATCTTCAAACATCCTCAAGCCTCAGACTTCCTCAGAATTTCCAAGTTTCTAACGCCCTTGGCAACCGTGTCTACCACTTGGCCATAATCATTGGGTGACCCCAGCAGCTTCTGATAGCCGCGGGACACCAGGGTCGCCACGGCCCAGTCCAAGCCCAGCACGTCGCGCACGCCGGGCCGTTGGATCTTTAAGGCCACCTCCCTGCCGTCGTGCATGCGCCCGCGGTACACCTGGGCCAGTGTTCAAAGCCCAAAAAAAAGAATGCTCAAGGGGACCACCTCAAAAATGGAAGAACGCCTTGTTCTCACTTTCCTTTTCATTGCTCTTCTTTCCAACGTCTTCTGGCGGATATCTGTCTTCTCCGGAACTGCTCAGAAAGCAAGACAACTACTCCAACAAGTTTTCCAAATCTCCCAGAAATGCGGAACAACATGCCATCTGAGGGTCCCTCCAAAAAATCCCCAGCCCCCACCAAGCAGCACCTGGCCCAGCGAGGCGGAGGCCACGAATTTGGGATTCAACTCTTTAAGCAAAGTGGGCCCATCTGCATGGCAGTTGGATGGCACCACCCCAGGAGCCAAGGGCCCATCATGTCCCAGGTCTTCGGCCTCGGTGGACGGGAGACTAAAAATGGGCGGGGCTGGGAAGAAGTTCAAAAAAGATGTTTTTGTTTCAGCCTCCATCTTTGTGCGATGCCAGAATGCATTGACATGCACAGAACGATCTATCCTTCACCAACCGCAAAAGACCGCCATAATCCGCAGATCATGGCTATGCCATTTCTTCAGAATCACAACGTGACCTGTGGGTATGCCATTTTGGATGTTTGATGCTTAAAGTCCTACGTCCTGGATCACCAGCCCGACAGCCAAGTGGCCAGAATTTGCAGCGCTAGCTCGTCACTGAAGGGTGTGCTCTGCTCTTGAAGGCCCTTGAGCTCTTCTGCCACCTGGGAGCACATGGTGCCAATTCGGCTGCGAATGGCCATGAGAACTAGCCCCTTCCCCTATGCTGAACCTCCAATAATGAATACCGCAGATTCAATACTCAACTAAACCAGGATAGAACTTCATGTTGGGGGTGAAGGGACTATCATGGAACGAGTCAAAGAGGATTGAACACATCATTGAAATTAGTCCATCCCATGCTCAATCCCCGCTCCACCATGTGTGGTTGGTGGTTTCAGCCCAAACGAAAATCGTCCATTAGGGGCATGACATGTGTGCAATCCTTTTTCGAGACCAAGCAGATTCCCAGTTCCATTCACGGAAAAATCTGACTGAACACCCAAACTCCAAAAATAGGAAAGAATGATAGTAAACTATCAGGCGGGATGATGATGACAAATCACGTGAGCACCATCCTCTTCCATCCTCTTCCATCCTCTTCCATCCTCTTCTATCTCTTCCATCCTCTCCCATCATTGTCCCTCTCATCTCTATCAAAATTGCAATTTTGGAAATATACCGCTATAATCCGCTATATATTGTGGAATCTCCATGTTTTGACGCGCGCACAGTCCAATATAATCCCACTTCTTTCTAATATTAAATTATTAAACACCCCCCAGAAACCACGGTTTAGTAGGGGATGACATCGCAAATTGGGTGGAAATAGGATGGGGATGTTTAATATGAACGTGGAATGGGACATCCCAATTGTCCATCCCATTCACCATTTATATCTTCATTCAAATTATCCAAAATTCTCCCATCATCCATCCATTCATCGCACCTCATCCCCAACGATGTCGGGCCGTTGCGCCGCCGTCTGCCCGATCTTCACGAAGAAGACGCCCATCTTCTGCAGGCCGCGGCGCAGCGCCTCGCCGCGTGCCGTCACAGGCGTCTGGCGCACCAGCGATGTGGTCAGCGTCGGGGCCGGCGCGTCGTCCTCCTGGGGCGGAGGGAAGCGGATTTTCATCATTTGTTTATATTCAAACATGCATATCTATATGTGAACATATATATATATGTATATATGTATACATAGTTTCGTTATGTATACTATACATACATACAAAATATATGCACATCATACATATACTTTATGTCTATGTGCACAAATTCGATAACCCTGCAAACAACTCAGAAGACCAGAGAAACACAAAATCCACCACCAGACACATATCCCAATACACTGGCAAGCCAGCTCAGCGCACCTTGCGATCTCGCCATGCCAACCAGATGCCTCCAGCTATCCAAAGAGTGGTGACTAAGCGTTTCATGATCTCCCAAGGACGTGCTTGTATGTACTCCAACAGCCGCTCCTGGCCAAATCAAAGGCTTTTTTTGCAGCAAAAAGCTCCACCCAGATTTTAGGATCATCCAGCCATCCATCCCTATCCCATCCTATCCCCATATTTATGGTACCCTTGAACCCTTTCTTGCTGCCGACGCCAAAAAATAAACACAAATCCTAGTCCCAACACTTTCTGAGTCCCTTTTTGCTGAACCAAAAAATGCCGAAAAATGACCTCCTCCCATCACCCCATCTCCTGGTCAAAGGCCGCATCATCCAAACTGCTTCCTGTCCACTCCCAGCTCTGCGCGCGTCCCGCGCCGATGGCTGCCTTCGAGGCCTCTGCGTCCAGGTCATAGTTCACCTTCACCCGCAGCGCCGGCACGCAACCGCGATGGGAAGACCGGAAGGGTTGCAAGACTGATCCACCTGGTGCCAAGGCAGTGCTGGGATGTGTGTATATATATATATACATACATATACATGTATATATATATATATACATATATATCTATCTGTGTGTGTGTGTTTATTGATTTGTTCATTTATTTATTTATTTACTTAGATATTTATTAATATATCTATTTATCTATTTATCTATTTATCTATTTATCTATTCATTTGTGTGTGTGTGCATATATGTGTTTATCTCTATATATATATATTTAAAAAAAAAATATTTATTTATTTATTTATCTATTTGTATACATATCTATATATATATATACTTATTCATATCTATATATATACTATATATATATACTATACAATTCTATGTAACTACAGGCAAAAGAGAAAGTCACGCCTAAGTCATGCCTAAAAGGCTTTCCTGCTTGTCACCGCAATCATTCCGGCACTCATTCAATTGAGCAGTGTTCAAAACTTCAATTAAAACTGTATATGCTCACAATTGATGACTGTACATCATGTACATGATGTACATGATGTACATGCAGTATGTGCATCCCACCTCTCCGGGGAGTCCAGGATGCAAGAGCTCTCGGCTGGTGCCTAGTCAGTGTGGCCAAAGGCATCCAAAAGATCAAAACGACCTCACCTATACTGCCCATGTTGATAATATAAATATAAGCAATCCAAAGGACCTTTTGCGTGGCTCGGGACCTTTCAACTTCTTCCAGACTGCGAGGTTTTTGTTTGCAACTCTAAACTCCTGACATTGCAGTTTTGTCAGTGCCTATGGCTTTTCCTCGAATCTGGGACTGCTTAAAAACATGTATTTTTTGATTATGTTCTTATTGTTTTATCGTGGTCCCCAATGTAATACTTCTGTCCCTACGTTACTTTCTCATCAGCGCTGGCCTTCGTCGCGACGTGCAACTCAGCAGCAGCACTGCCACCAAGCACCGCAAGGAGGGCCGCATGGGGCACTATGCATGAAGTTCTCCACCGGTGAATCACTTAGAGTTGGATGATCTGAGCTCGCCGGCCACCATGATGCATCCCTAGTGCTCATGGGGATGTAGCTAGTCATGACGGGGGAAGTAGGTGGTTAGGGTCCAAGGAACACTCTGAGCTGGGAAATCTGGCTGAGGTATGCCCATAGCTTTGGTTTCAATGAAACCTCTAACGGGGGCACGAGCTGTTGGACTTAATATCAAATGTCATTATGTTACTGGGGGCACGGCCTGCAGTCAAGAAAGTGCCCCCTACATCCAGCTCTTCATTAAACTCCTGTAGATTGTGGGAGCGCCACTCCCAACACACTGCCGCCACTGGACGCCCCATCACATTGCTACTGCACATTTACCCGCTTCTGCTGATTACCATGAAGATTGTGCGGTTTACCCAGCCATCAGAGGCTAGTTGGGTTGATACATCTTGCTGTTGTCTACTCGTAGTGTATCAAGTTCAGTGAACTTGAGCCGCCACGTCCACCGGGCTTCCATGAACCTTGCGCCTGCACACATAAAAGCATCCCACCCAAAAGTGTCAGTTTCCGCTACGCTAAGAAAATCAGCTCCCAAACCCATCCTTTGGCAATTTGGGGTACCATATTGCTACTCAGTCAGGGGTACCTACAAACCAATCTGGGGGGCCTGAGTGGTCAACCCAACGGACCTGGTATCCCCAATAGCAAAGCGCGCCCAATTTTTTCTGCCATTGAAAACCACCAACAAAGGGTATAGACAGCAATGGGCAATCGCATCACATTCATGGATGTTCCTATGAACTAACTATTACTATTACTCTTTCTATTACCATTACTATGATTTACTATTACTATTATTTTTGTTGTTATTACTGTTGTTATCACTATTATTGTTATACTCCAGTGAGGTACCAGTTGACCTCAGTTTTAGCTAGTTCCAACCCCATTGAAATGCATATCTGGTAATAAACTGGTGCTCATCGCTGGTTCAAAACATTGCCGAGCAAGACATTCAGGCAACCGATTGATGGAGTCGGGCAACGGAGCCAGTAAAACCCCTCCCACAACGGCTGTCCGAAGGGAAGATGGATATGCCATGATATGCCATGTCATGGCTATCAAAATGGTGCTCCTCTTGTGAGCATTACAGTACAAGTGATGAAAAGCTGTGGTGGATGTTCATCCTCCCAAAGATAGTACATTATCTAGTTTATCACAAGTTTTGACATTTTAATCTGTCATTATGATTCTGATTTTTCTGTCACTGCAACGAGCTTAGCACCCGATTCTAAAGATTTAGCTCCGAAGATAAGTTGGGCATCTAGCCAGCAATCTGTTTGCAGCTGTTCAAGCCTTGGGCCATCCCAGCGGAATTCGAGATCCTGTCTAGATCTAGACCGCCAGGGCTTCAAAACTGATTTGAACCCCATGGCACTGGAAAATGAAGGGTGCAAATCCCTTTTTTGTCCCCGAAATTTCAGATGGAACCCCGGAAGATGGGAAAATGAACTCCGAGAATGGGCTTCCACATTTTGATGATATTCCAATGTTTGGGGGTTCCATCTCAAATTTTGGGAAGTTCATCTGGTGAAGTCAGCTGATACTGCAGCAGCTGACCTCACCAACCAGTGGACCGCCAAGCTGCTGAACCAACCAGGGTTTCGCAAGCGCTTCCTGCGGAAACGCACGGGCTATGGCGCCTATCCCTCTAAACCACGATTTGATGCCCAAACAAACATGTATACCGTATAAATGTGTGAGTAATATTTGTGCATCTCCAAAAAAATGCGTATATACATAAGAAACACTATAGTATATTTATGAATGATGTGTGTGTGTGTGCGTGATCGTCTGTGTTTTTTTGTGCGTGGTATACCTATTGTTGTTTCATCGTTTCATCATCTGAAAACATGTCCTCCGCATCACAGCGATCTGCTTCTGGAGAAATCATCTCTACGGCAAAGGGCAGGGCTCCACGACCCATGCCTTGCCATCTCTCCTCCATCAGCAGTGATCAGCAGTGATCGAAGGGTTGGTTTCCAGGAAAATCTACAGTACATGTTTTTTACCAGCAAATATCGGGGTGTCCAGGAAATTTTCCCATCCAATTCTTTGGAGTCCCTGGCCATTTCAGGTATCTAAATTGGCTACATCACCGCAGTCGTCTACCGGTACTAGTCACAGGATGCACACGGTACTACACTGATCGACCGGTACTCATTTGGTATGCGGCCCATAGGTTGTTAAAGTAAGCACTTGCTATTCAAGCTGTTTCTGATCTACGCTTTGTCTTGGTCTCTTCTTCTTCTTTTCTTCTTCTTCTTCTTCTTTTCTTCTTCTTCTTCTTCTTCTTCTTTTTCTTCTTCTTCTTCTTCTTCTTCTACTTCTCTTCTGCTTCTCTCCCAGGCGTCCACCTAAAGTGCACATCAAACTCCCTTGGCGCCACCTCTCTATGGCCGGCGGGCTTGCCGCAGGCAATTAAATAACCCTTGATGAAGTGGCAAAATAGCTCACAGTTGGTATGGCCTCAAAAATATTCCCAAATGGACTGCCCATCTGGGGGGCTCAAACATTCAAACATGTTGGTTTTTTGAATGTTTGACCGTCATATCAGTCATATCAATATCATTAAGAAAAAACACTGCTGTGTTCTATCCAAGTTTGCAACACCATCTTGAATCTGTGTGCTCTCCTCCGTCAAGAGGCTTCTTGCTACTTCTGCGCCCTGTTCGTCCTCGCAGCTTTCAGGGTGCCAGTAATGCTGTCCCGTTCGCAGGGCGATGAAGAGAACCCCCAAGCTGTAGATGTCACACTTCTCCGTGTAAGACCTGCAGATGTTCGGGAAAATCAAGTGGGACCAAGTCATTCACCATGCATTTTTCATCATTTTTCCATCTGGCTATTCACTATCGGACTATCCCCAGTTGGATGTTATACAACAGCTACCGCTACTGCCACTCTCCAAGGAGGTACACGCACTCCGCTCCAGTGGCCTTCCTTTCTCCAATACCTCAGGGGCCATGAAGGGCCTGGTGCCAGCTTTGCTTCGCATGACCTTTCGCGTGCGCGATCCGAAGTTGCAGGCCAGATTAAAGTCGGCCAGTTTCCATGTCCGTCCCGAGAGCAGCACATTGTCCTCAAGAGCTACTTGGTTGTCGTCAAGGAAGGCACACGAAACGAATTGTGCAAAGTAAGACCAAGGAAAAGCAGACATATGCTATAATAACTTGGTACTCATATATTTAGTCATTTAGTCGCTAAAGTGACATCTGCTCTGTGCCAAGCGGTCAAGCATTCTCGGCTTTCGTGCAATTCTGAGCTTTCTTTTGCTTCATATAGTGAAATGTTTGGATATGTTTGGATATTCTTGGACGGAGAACCTTCAAAACAGCATCCCCTGACAAAATGACCAACATGGATTCTCAGTTGACCAAACCCAGCATCGGGTTTGATGTCGCGATGCGCCACCTCGTTCTGATGAAGGAAACTCACGGCCGACAGCAGCTGAAAAAGCGACCTTGCAATCTCATGCCTGCCCGGTGGGCAGTAGATGCTCGCGCCATCACATTTCTCCACACGTGACCGCATGTACCTGATGTTGGCAGAAATTGGCTGAAATGGCTGTCCGACAGGCAATGATTCTTCAATTCCACTGGTGCTTCATCGAAAGGAAACACAGAAAATCCAAACGAAAACTGATTTCAAACCAACCACCTCTTCATGCTGCCTTCCGTGCACAGCTCCAAGACCATATCCACGACCCCTGGTGCACTATACACCTCATGGATTTGGATGATGTTCTGATGCCTCAAGTTTCGAAGCAGCTGCACTTCTGGCTCGGACTCAGGGGAACTGTCACTGAGGACTTGTTTCCACGCGAAACGTTGCTTGCTGCCCTTGTGTTGGACCTCTTTCACCTCGACGGTGGGACATTTCGGGTCATTTCAGGCTTGAAATGACCCCCCCCACCAAAGAAACACAAAACATTAAAAACAAAAACAAATCATTCAAACATCATATAAAATAGAAAATCATCAGAATAAAGATTATTAACTGATAATGAAGAACCTAACCAAAATCAATATTTCACCGTGTTTCACCCTCCAATCCCATTCATTTTCACCGGGCCCATCGACACAGATGTTTTACGGATCACCGGACCTGTCCGTATTTCCCAGCACCCAGCGCTCTGATGACAGCATAGTTTTGGATTATCTCTGGTGAGCTGGTGGTGCAACAGACAGACCGACGGGCCATTGGAACTGCAGCCGGAGTGAAAACGGGACCCACGGCCCTTGAGCCAAGTGCCACCCAGTGACCCCAAACCCACCAAAATTTGGTTGGTTGAGCCACTGGGGACCAAAAAGTTGAGCCACTTTGTAGTTTATATATAATTTATATATGTTTATATTATATTTAAAGATGTTTAAATAGAACGTGTTTGAGAACAAGCGCGGACCCACACAGCCCTCACAGAATCTAAAGTGACATTACAATCATTACAAGTTCAAAACTTCTAAGTCGATTCTAAGTTCAACGCTTGCCACTGGGCCAGCTGCTCAGCGCTGCCTCCATTCCTTTTCCGCTGCTTCCAAGGTCTGGGACTGGTGCAGCGTCCTGATCAAATCATGGACTGTCCTGCCAGATCCAGACCTTCCCTGCTGCCCGCCGCCTAGAGAGGATGAAACAACCTGAAACAACCATACTCATTCTGCCAAGTTCAGAACTTTGGAATGGGCAAACACAAAGGAACGGAGTTTCCTCTGGCAAATCTGCAGTTTCGCCCGAGATCTGTGGATCGTTTGAGCACTGCGCATTGCAGAAGTTCGCCGCCACTTTTGTTCATGGCTTTGATATTGATCTTCAGCGCGAAATCACAATCCAATCTTGCTTTGAGGAGTCCTTGGAATTTCAATTGGAACCAGGTGCCTTCTTCGCTCTCAGCCATAGCAATCATTATAATAACATATAATGATAGCAGTGAATTTGCAAGGACAACACAAGGCCCCTACCATGACAGCAGCTGGGAGGGCCTCAGCAGCAACCGCTTGCAGGAGGCATCCAATACAAGAAATTACAAGAATACCTTTAGAAAAAGTATGAAAAAATGGACGGGCGTGCGGAAATCGGAAGCTATAAAATGCACATAGCACATCATAGCACCATAGTTTTCATAATATGTATGTACTCCTTCTACGTCAATACATAAAGAGACAGGGAGAGGCACATACGCATGTGCATGTGCATTATAATCATTATACACACATATGCATGCACATTTGTGCAAGCACTTTTTCCTATACATGAATGTGCAACTATGCTCTATTGGTGCGCGCCTGTGTGTGTGTGCGGGGGTCATCATTCAGTCTAGACTATATTGGCACTACTCATTCCTACAACATTTAACAACCCCATCTACGCTTAGACCTGGTCGGTCTAAAACACAGCAGTCGATCGCTGTTTTGTAGGTTTTTGTTGTAACCGCAACATGTGACCCTTAAGTTTAATCAATGAAGCCGCTGAAGCCCCAAATGTTGGAATTCTGACCATACAATCGCCGCAGCCACACGAGCAACCTCTTTTTTGCGTCCGCTACCCGGCTCCCGGTTTCAGCTGGCCGCCTGGACACCAATGACCAGCCAGGTGAGCAACAAAAACTGTGTTCAGCGAGTTTTGTCCTAGAATTTCCAGACACCAGGTCCAACATTTCAAGGCGTGTCAAGGCCTAAAAATTAGCGAGCTGCTCATGGGATGCCATCATGAGTGAAATCTATCACAGCTCCTGATTTATATCATGAATCATCATCATCATCATCAGCAGCAGCAGCAGACTAGCTGCTAAGCAGCTTCTTAGGGAGCCATGTTTTCGAGCCTTTGCTTTCCAGGGGATCATGCAGAAGTAGTTCCTCCGCCAAGGGCCGCTGTTCGGGATCCTGGCGTTCCAGGAAAACTGTGGAAAAACCCAACGGTGCAAGGTGGAATTTGTCTACCCGAGATTTGTGGAGAAATCCATAGGCTTCCTGGCTCTTGGTCCTTTTGTTTTGCAATTCACCAGAAGGGCATGTTGTGCAGGTTCTGCATGGTGCAAGGTCACTGCAACTCCCAATAAAAACGGTAAAAAGCTGGGATCCCCATCCTTGCAGAGAAGTTTGCCAAGTAGATCGCATGAGCTTTGCGACACAGAACTGCCTCTGGTGCACATGGGAGGAATGGCATGAACTTCATGAACCTGACTTGGCATTTCAATACATGTAAGCTTTCCCTGTCATTCTATCCCCTGTTTTAAACAGCTTGTCCTCAATCTGGTCAAGCATTTTGTTCCCTCATTTCCCAGGATCCTCCAGGATAGCTATCATAGGCTATCTAGATGTGTCTGAAAATTGCGTATAACCCAGTTGGATACGCCATTTCATCGGGATAATGATGATGAACCGCAACGGGTTTGGAGGCCGGTGCCGAAATGAGGAGTTGAGGACTTCCGTTCAGTACGGTAAGTTACCGTACCCTCTGGTTTCATAATATATGAGATCTCATACAGATTAATTATGATTCTGATTAATTGATATTATATATATATATGTTATATATGTATCCCACCTGTTCCAAATAAGATTAATGATCAACATGCCAAATCCCAATTTTCCCAATTTTTTCTTGATATCCCCAGCATATCCGTTCGGCCTGGTTCCGGCAGCTGCAGGGTTTCGAAGGCGATGCAGTCCATCAGCGCAGCCAGGTCCTACTTTATCTCTCTATATTGTATATTGTATGCATTGTGTGTACTATATATATGTGTGTGTGTATGTATGTATGTATGTATGTATGTATGTATGTATGTATGTATGTATGTATGTATGTATGTATGTATGTATGTATGTATGTATGTATGTATGTATGTATTTATGTATGTATGTATTGTATTGTATTGTATTGTATTGCGTTGTATTGTATTGTATTGTGTTGTATTGTATTGTGTTGTGTGTATGGTATGTATGGTATGTGTGGCATGGTAGGGTAGGGTATGGTATGGTATGTATGGTATGTATGGTATGTATGGTATGTATGGTATGTATGGTATTTATGGTATGTATGGTATGTATGGTGTGTATGGTGTGTATGGTGTGTATGGTATGTATGGTATGTATGGTGTGTATGGTGTGTATGGTGTGTATGGTGTGTATGGTGTGTATGGTGGTGTATGGTATCGAATGGTATGTATGTATATCTGTATCCATCTGTATCCATCTGTATCCATCTGTATCCATCTGTATCCATCTGTATCCATCTGTATCCATCTGTATCCATCTGTATCCATCTGTATCCATCTGTATCCATCTGTATCCATCTGTATCCATCTGTATCCATCTGTATGTATCTGTATGTATCTGTATGTATCTGTATCCATCTGTATCTATCTGTATCCATCTGTATCCATCTGTATCCATCTGTATCCATCTGTATCCATCTGTATCCATCTGTATCCATCTGTATGTATCTGTATGTATCTGTATGTATCTGTGTCTGTATGTATCTGTATGTGTATGTGTATATATATATATATCTGTAGAGAGAGAGAGAGAGTGTGTGTGTGTGAGTGAGTGAGTGTGTGTGTGTGTGTATGTTGTGTGTGTCTTTCTATCTATGTGTGCAATGTTGGCTCCAACGAACCTTCAGGATGTTAAGGTGGATTGAATACAGTGAAATACCAGTGAATTGGAGTTGTGATCCTGTCTATGGCTGGAGAAGGAGAAAAAAAACATTATTGTCTGTATACAACTGGATTACAGAAGCTCGTCTTGGAGTTCAAAGGGGGTACATCTGAATTTGTTCCATCTACAGCTAGTATTTAAGAAATAAATTTAACAGCTTGTATGTCACGATGATTGATGGCTGCTGGATTCTCCCATTTGGCTCTGAATAGTGTACCTTGCCACTATTTCTGGGTTTTGAGTGTGAAAGGAATGACTCTGTTTGTGGTTCGATGTAGGGCCACTTTTTAAGCACACAATAATTTTTGACAATGTTTGGGTATGCCAGACTTGATTTTTTCCCATCAGTCTGACTCTGCCAGACTTGATGGTTGCTGTTCCTTCAGGGATCCAGAAACTGAGCAGATTTGGCTGGTTTTGCGGGGATGTCTAGTTCCTCAGAAAGGACTCGGAGAGTTGCCTTGTGGACCAAATATGGGATTACTTGGAGTAGAAGCTGGGTGAACTTGCCAGCTGGACATGTGAGTATACGTTGTGATTATCCGTCATATTTAACATAAAAGGAAATGATCAGCTTGATTTTGCGGTCCCAGCGCCACCCCACTTAACCCACTCCCGTCCCCAGCTCCTTGTGCCAATAGGGAAGCGTGCCAAGCAAGAAGGCCCAGACACACACGCCTCGTTCATGTTTGTTGGTTCCCATCTTGGATTATATAGTTCGTAAATTCCATGGAGAAAAAATGTCAGTTAATAAGCCTACACGTTTACCGTTTAACCATCTTGGATTAGATTGGGATCCCAATTAGCCACTTGGTGCATACCAAGATGTCAATTAACCACATACAGTCATTTCGATTGAATCACTTTGCATATCGTTAGTACTGGTACGACTCAAGGTTTCACCATCAAACACCAGGGCGGACATTGCTCGCCTGTGGCCCAGATGTCAGCCCGCCGTCCATCGTGGCCGCAGTAACCGCGAGCGCACATTTCTGGAGAGAAGAAGTGGTAAGTGCCTTCAGTGCCATGCACCAGGTATTCTTCGTCCATCCTCAAGAGAGAAAAAGAACTGCTGCACCGGGGCTGCACCGGGGCTGCACCGGGGCTGCACCGGGGCTGCACCGGGGCTGCACCGGGGCTGCACCGGGCAACAAATATAATTTATATCATGGATTCCCCCAGTTCCCATTCCCATCATCTGAGGTTCTTGGGTGCATCTTTTATGGGTCGACCTGCTTTGTTTCTTGATCACACTGATGGGTCCTCCTTAGCTGCCTGTCATTCTGTGGGATTGCTGCTCGGCTTCTGGGAACACAGGGTGGACATGGAAACCTTTCAGTAGTGGGCCTGCGATTGGTGTATGGGTGATGATTGGATGTTCTGGCCGTGGCAGGAACCAAATAGGTTTGTCTCTTGATGATGCTTTTGGGGGTTCGTTTCGCAAATGATTGCCTGCACGTCTTCATGGGTTCCCCTACCACAGCAGCCAGACAAGACTCCGTGTGGCCACGCCAAAATCGCCTAAGAATGTGGCAAAATTCCCGGCCAAAGAAACTGAATTCTGCACAAGAAGAGACCAGCAGAAATCCGTTGCCATTTCATGCCGCTGATGGGACCACACTGGCGAGATATGACCCATAGATCCCCATAGCCATTCCACGCCAATGCCACCATGTCACCCAACTTCAAGGGACTCCCCATCAGCAAATTTTGAGGCTTCACATCCCTGTGCGCGATCCGGCAGCTGTGCAAGTAGCTCAAGGCTACCCTGGCTGCATAGATCCAGGGCAAATAGGGGGCCTCCAGGCCTCCAGGTTTTAATGGTTTTGGGGCCGGGGCCCCATAATTCATCAAATGCCTTTCATATAGGTAAAGACAAAGTGGGCATGTATCTGTCTATATATAGTATCTATACATATATGGTACAGTATCTCTTGATATCTAGCCATAAAACTTCTTCCATCGTAATATTATCCGATAGACTTATAGATGACATCGCTGCGTCCATAAAAGCCCCCCCTTCTCCAAGTCGAGCCACAGCAGATCGGACAAGTAGGCCCGCATGGTGGGCTCCGGAATCAGGCCGCGCCCATGGTCCGTGGCGCGGAAGCGGCACTCCTCATCGAACCACTCCATGACTTGGCCCCCCTCCACGTGCCTCGAAAATGGACATCTTGGCCATTCGCCACATGGGATCCAGAGTATTCTACATTTTTGTCAATAGATGTGTCAATACATATGTCAATATCAATTTTGGCGTGTATGAATCAATATATGATTATATATATATATATATAAACAAATGCTCACACGAAAAGATATATCATATCTATATATCAAATATATTTGAACGATCGAAAGAAAGAGACTGTGCGTTGCTGGAAGTTCGGATGAGGTTCTGGCTTACTGTACGTGAAATATAGAGAGAGAGAGATCTCAAGATGAGGAACCCAAGAAAAACTGGCCATGGACAATGGACCGGCGCATCTGTGGGGAGATAAATAGCTTAATCTCTCAAGTCACCATAAGTCTAGCCATACTGTGGATGGAAGAAAGCCTACACCACCTTCAAGTCACCATAAGTCTAGCCATACTGTGGATGGAAGAAATCCCACACCACCTGGAATGGTTGGTTGAAACCCCTATATATAATGGTATAAACCATGGGATAAACCACCTAGCAACTGGTGCAGGACATGAGCCAAAAAGCTCCATGACAGCATAGATCTTGCCATTTTGGTGCTCCTCATCGAAGACGGCATAGAGGCGAACACAGTTTGGATGGCAAATCTCCTTCATCCTCGGGTCACCAGGCGGCTTGGCCACACCATCCGCATCAACATCCCATCACCCGGGCACGGAGGGGGGGGGAATAACATCTGACCCGGAAAAAAATAATGATCTAGTGATTCTAGTGGCAGAATTGGACTTTCCTCCATCAAACTAGTTCAGAAGTTCACCTCCTCCATCAAAATGACTAGAAAGTCGCCCATTTTCATCATGAAATCTCACTAGCCGAAAGTCAAGTTCAGCTCAGTGTAGACCTTGTCAAGGCTGGTGCGCACCTTCATGCCCTCGCCCCCATCCGCACGCAGAAACTCGCGCTGCTTCCGCAGCGGAAGCTTCCGAAAGACCTGGCGTGGGATCATTGTCCAATCGCAGATGGAAAACACAACGTGGGAAACCACCATTGATTAACCTCTGTCATCTTCCCCGCGTGTTTGATCCCCCATTGTCATCAGGTCACAATCTCAACAAGTTCCATCTTCCAATAGCAACATCCCAAGTCCCACTGCAAACCTTCATGGCGAACATGCGCCCGGTGTCTTCCTCTTCACATCGCTTGACTTTGGCGAATGAACCTTCACCCAGGCGTTCCCTGAAAACGCGGAAGCCTCGGCAAACAACACATGTTACACCAGGATTCACTAAAGGCCAATGATACTGTTTGAATCTGTTGGATGCTTGGACTTAGCCCCAACCATCCAACATAATCTCTGTTTTTGTCGAGTCTCCATTGATGGTCTTGGTGCCATCTTGATGCTTCACTTTTTGGACATCGCTGGACTCCACCACACGTGAGGCCCTCATCAGCAGCTAAGGCAGCACTGCGACATCTTGCGTGGATGTGCAATGATTGAAGTACAAAAGACTTGAGTTCATGTCCCCCTCTGTAAGAGAAACTTAAAATGACTATTTGGGTCGGCGTCGTCCATGTTGCTGTTTCTGATCCTTGGGTGCAGTTCTTCGATTTCTTTGACCATGAATTTTGCTGGGGTTTTTTGTTTCATCCTTCCCGAGCCATCATACACTCCGCAACGCGACGTTGAGCACAAACTGACCATCTCCCAACACACAGCCGGCACCTTTTGTTGTCCGCTTTTTACCGTTGGAGCAGCCGAACCTTACGCCACTTCCGGTTGCGCGGCAGCCGCTTCAGCGGCTCGGGGGTGGGGACCCACTCGGGCTTCTCCGCCTCGCCGTCCTCGGCGTCCTCGCCATCCTCGGCGTCCTCGCCGTCCTCGGCGTCCTCGGGGTCCTCATCCTCGGCGGTCTTGAAGGGCCGGCGGCGCAGCAACAGCTGGCGCCCGGCACCGGTGCCGTAGGAGGCAGTGAAAAGGCCCAGCTCCTAGGTAAAGGGAGAGCAAAAACATCTCTCAACATCTCCTGAGGTGTCACCTAGGACCTAGGAATCTACCCACAGCTCCACACAGGAGATTTTGGCAGGAAATGGATGGTTTGAGGTTTGAGGTATCCCAGTCCATACGCGAATCCAAGCAAAATCTAAAGGGGATAGCGGGTGAGAGCTGATTCTTGAGGAACTATTTCACTCGGTCCTGTGCAGCTCTGTGCAGGTAGCTGCGCTCAAAGGCGCCAAGATTGGCAAATGTCAACTCTTCCAAGGTATTCTCACCGTCCTGCACCAGTTTCTCCTGCAGAGGGCTGGGATAGATATTTGCATTAGTTTGCAGACCAGCACAATGATTGGTTTGATTTATTTAAAATGAGCCCCCATCAACCTCAGCTAAGCACCAATCAGCCCCGAATAAAACGGCTTAATGCTTTATGGGAACTGCAACCTGCCGGAATGGACCCATGGCCCATGAACGCAGCAATCCCAGCAAGACTCCTGCAAGAAGTTCTGCAAACCCTCCACATCAGCCAGCAGAGGCTCAATCTGCCATCGTGGAACTGCACTGCTGCGTCGCAAATATCTGGGGATCTTTCCATCAAACGCCAGGCGCAACAACCATCCATCGCTCAAGGGACTATGCGTCACCAAGCAGGGCTGCTGCTCCAAGCTGCTGTTCACCTCGATCACCTCGCCGGCCACCGGGCTGTGCACCTCCCCCACCGTCTTGACCGCCTCCAGGGTGGCCACGGTGTCCATGACCTGCGGCTATCAGAACCCGTGATTTGCGATGAAAATGATCTACAAATGGTAGGTATTCCTTATCATTCTTTACCCATTTTGGTTTACTGCAGGGCTGGAAGATTCATGGCAAGATCTTAAGTCATAGGTCATTTTGCTGTGAGAAGCCGCAGATTTTCTACGGCATGGTTTTGTTCTCAGAAGGTATGCCATGGATCTAAGATTAGCTGAGGGAAGGAAGAATAGGATAAAGGCAAGAAAAAGAGTGCAATTAAAAATAATTAAAATATCACTGGGGACCCCTGCTTGATATCCAAGGAAAAAGGGCGATTAACAAACAAAAGTTAGGAAATCAACTGGTTGGTGGTTGAGCCATACTATGGGGACAATATAATTGTTCGAATAGTGGTGACATTATAGAGACATAGCCTACAATGGGGATATCCAGCAACGATAGCGAATACTGATTGGTTGGTGGTTCAGCCCCACCAAAAAAATATGACAGTTAATCAGGATCATCATCCTTTTTGAAACCAAAAAATAGATACGTAAATCACACACACACACTGCTGAATGAGTAAGTGATTTACTCTGTATTGGAACTTCAAAAAATTTGAAGTAGACGTCGCCTGAATGTTACCTAAATCATCCTGGCACAGCAATCTGACAGGAAAAGGATGTGGAGATGTAGACCTTAACCTGCAACAGCCTAAAGTCACAATGTATTCTAAGCAGGTACGTCGGCTGGTACTTGCATGGGCCACCAGCCCCCTGTTTGAATAAATTCATGATCTTGATTCTTAACCGGTGATGCACATATGTCCGTGTGACTATGACTGTAACTATATATGAATCACTATGATTCATTATATCTTTTAAACCACTACAACTCTTTCTCTCTACCTTAGCTCTTTTGCTGCCTCAATTCGGCTCGTCCCACCTTGAAGCGCGTCCCTTCCTCGGGCAAACGGCAGTAGACAATC